GGGGGGGGTCGAATGACTTGACCAGGGTCGCCCAGCGGGTCAGTAGCGGAGTTACGAATAGACCCCCACCACTCCTGAGCCCCTGTTCATTGGCCACAGCTGTGCTCATGAAGGGACCCGCCTGGCCCCGGCCCCGGCCCCAGTGGCCTCTGCCCGCATCCGTCAGAAACCAGGGCAAACCTGCCCCAGGGCAGCCCCCCGGAAAGGCCCCTGGAACCCGCGTTGGCCGCTGGGCTCCCCCGCGGGGGGAGAGAGAGGAGGAGAGATGAGGAGCCAGGCGGGGAGGGGGGGCAGGAGACAGACCTCGCGGAGGGCGATTCGGGACCAGATCCTGGGGTTTAAGATTCCTGGCGCAAGGGGAGCCAGGGCCCGGGGCCGCCAGAGGCAGCGGGGGCCGGGGCCGGGGCCGGGGCCGGGGCCCCCCTCCCCCCCCCCCGACCACTCCCCCTCCCTGCCATTCTGCCGAACCACTGGGTCCATCAGCGGGTCCCGGACGATGTCCCTCCACTCGATGGTGTCCACGTGGCACAGGTGCTCGTTCCTCTCGATGTCAACCCCGCCCGCCAGGATCTCTGCAAGGCAAGGACCCGCTGAGCCACGGCCCTGACCCCCCCACGCCGGCCGGGACTCGGGGAGCGCCCCGAAGCCAGGGGGCGGAATGGGGGGCAGGGCAGGGGGCTGAGGGGAGGGACAGAGCCGGAAGTGGGGGTTGTCTGGGGCCGGGCCCACGGAGCCCCACTCGCACCCCAGGGTCCGTGCACCCCGTTAGCGGAGGGTCACATCTGGCCATTCCACTGCCCCTCGCAGGGGAGGCAAGAGGGGGTTTCTGGCTGCAGGAGGCAATTCCTCGCCGGCTCCGCCCAGCCCGGGTTGTTTTGACAGCTGGAGTCGGGGCGGGGGCGGGGGGGGGATGGCAGCCCCAGCGCTGGGGTGGGGCAGGCCGGGCGCTTGCCGTGGGGTGCTGAGGACGCCAATAAAAGCCTCCGTCTGGGGCGGGGCGGCTGGAGCGCTCCGAACGCAAACAGCCGGGCGCACCCAGCGGGTCAGGCCGGGACGCCAGCGGACGGGATCCTCCCGCCAGGACGCGCCCCAGCCTGCCCACGGCTCCCCCTCCTGGTGCCTGCTCCCCGGGGAGTCGAACACCCACGCCCCTCCCAGGCACCCGTGAGCCCCCACAGGCTGGCAGGGGGAGAGGCTGGGCGCCTTAGCTCCTCTCCAGTATCCCGGGGGGCTTTGCAAAGTACACACGAGGCATGGGGCTGACCCCCGGGGCCGAGAGGGGTCAGGGCTGTGTGCGGACCCAGGGCTGAGCGTTGCAGCTTAGAGGAGACTCATTCCCCCCCCCCCCCCCCCCGCCCCAGAGTGCAGCCACCTCTGGGTGGGATGACATCTAATAGCGCTGCTACCCAGCAGCCCAGGACAGAAAGCGAAGAGAAGTCCAGCGAATAGCCGGACGCACAGGGGGGCTCGGTGTGGGGCCAGGGAGAGGGGGCAGCAGGCCGGCGCTGGGGGACTCTGACCATCACCCCTGTCCTGTCTCATCTGAAAGGCAACCCACAGCCGCTAGCCCCCTCCTGAGCCCCCCGCCCCACAGCACCTCCTAGCCCCATCCTGGGCCGTGGGGCTCAGCCCTGACTCCAGGGGGCAGCGCCCCCCCCGATCCCGCTCCTTGCTAAACAGCACCCCCTAGCGCCGATTCACCATCCACCCCTCCCTCCGGGTTTTCCTTCAGCCCCGGCCCAGCCTGACCCTGCCTCTTCCCACAGCCAAGGCGCATCTGACCTTGGAGCAGCCTCTGCCCCAAACCGTTCACCTGCTCCTGGCCCAGCCGCGGCCGGGAAACACTCATAAACCTGCTCCTCGGCGCCGATAAGGGGATTGATTACCCGTCCCGCCATCCCATTGGCCAGGAGCGCCCATAAAGCGCCCGTCGGCCCCTGGACTTTCACCCCAGAACCCGCTGGGAGGGCACAGGTCAGAGGCGGGGCCTCGGAGGGCTTGCCAGGGGCTGGGGGCAGGGCACCTGGGGGTCACCGGCTCCACGATGCTGGGGACCCCCCGGTTTCCGACTGGTACCATCGCAGCCCCCGCATTGGCACCAGGAGACCGAATGCCCCGCTGGTGAACCCCTCTGCGAAAGGCCCCCGCAAAAGAATGATGCTCCACCCCCAAAGCAGAGCCTTGACCCCCCAAAGCAGAGAAGTGCCAGAGACACCAAGGAACGGCACTAGGGACTTGTGGACAGTGCCCAGATACCACGGTGATGGGCGGCAGCAGCACGACCCTAGAGTAGGTAAGTCGGGGCTGGTGCACGTGAGCTGCTGGTCCTGCAGATAAACACGTCACCTCGGCCTCCGCGGGCAGCGGCCCAGCCCTGAGCTCCCCTGAGAGTGAGTCCGACCCAGAGGGGAAGCCCTGAGCGCTCAGGCTGTTTGGGATCCCCTGGTGCTTTGGGTAAGAGCAGGGGGATCAGCCCTCATATCCCGGCCAAAGTCCAACCCGACACCCCCCCTGCAGCCTCCAGGGCTGCTTGCATCTCCCTCCAGAGCAATTGGTCCTGGCCACTGCCTGGAGAAGGGGACGCCGGACAAGGCAGCCCACTGCTCTGATCCAGTCTATTTTCCCCCTCAGCTGCCTGGCGTTGTTGTGAGCAGCTCCCGTCGGCCACCCCAGCAGTGGCTGCATTTTGCCAGCAGAGGGAGGAAGCTCTGCAGGGCATTGCCAGGGCGGGATGTGTCACCTGGCACCTGCAGTGGATTCCCTCCTCCCCCCTGTGAATCTGAGCGCAGGTAAACAGTGGCCAAGGATGAGGTCACCATGTTTATGTGGCGAGTAGGTGCAGCCAGCACCATACACGCCCCTGCCCCCTGCCAGCGTGTCCCCGCCCTGCCCTGGGGTGGCAGTGGGCGCAGCTCGAGAGGGGCAGGGGCAGCCCCCCGGGGCTCTCCGCCAGCATCAGATGCTGCTTGCGTAACGTTATCTGTCCACTAGGCAGTGGGCTGAGAGCCGCCCCACTCGGGTCACGTGCAGCAGCCGGGGGCGGCGGGACTCACCTGTGAGCTGGTTGAACCCCACCTGGCGGAGGGCGTGCGAGCCGTTGGTGTGATAGTTTAGCAGCACGAAGAGGGCGTGTTTGTCCTCGTAGAGCTGCGTGCCCCGGATGACGCGCAGGTTCCCCAGGGGCAGGTATGTGAAGACGTTCATAGCGATCAGGACGTAGCCCGTCACTTCCCGGATGGTCTGGAGAGCCGCGGAAGAAAGCGCCGTCAGCCCCCACCGCGCCCAAACCTCCCTCCCCCGTCGTCCACACGGCCAGGGCCTTCCAAACGCAGCCCCGGGACGGACGGAGCGCTGGAGACCTCTGTGTATTCAGAGCAGGGAGAGAGTCCCCCGCACGCACACGGGGACTAGTGCAACCAGACAGCAAGTGGGAAAAATCGGGACAGGGGGTGGGGGGGTAATAGACGCCTATATAAGAGAGAGCCCTAAATATCGGGACTGTCCCTATAAAAGCAGGACATCTGGTCACCCTAACGGGGACACACGTCTCCTGCCACATCTGTGCAGCCGGCAATGGCCCCCTTCATCCTGCAGCCAGCCCTGAGACTCTCCGGGCTCTGCCAGCTTACGGCCTTGTCTCCCCTGGGGGGTGTTGGGGCCGGTGCCAAACCATTCTGAATTGCTGTGACTGACGGGAATGAATGTGGCAAGCATGCGTTTGGTATGGCTCGGTAGGTCTGAACTCGCGCAAGGATTCTGGGAGCTGGATTCTCTTAGCATTAGATCAACGATGTGAAAAATTACTGGAAGTGCCGAAACGGCGCTGGAATTAATGGCTGATAACGGCTCGATCGGCATATATGGTTTCAACATCGAACTTTGGAATAGATCAGCAGGGAACCAGCTCACAAATGCCATCGGGGGGCCTGGCACAAGCGAACGTGGGTCACAACGACCACTCTGAAAGCTGAAGTGAATGATTGATGAGAGGGGAAACATCGATTGAGCTTTGCTTTGTGTCTGTTCCTCAGCTCCCCCCTTCCAAAATACGAATTAAGGAATAATAAAATAAATGGCGATGGGTCTCTGCACTCCGAAGCTCCGGGTCTCTGCACTCCGAACCTGGCTCATGCTGACGCTGCCCCACCCACCCCCAGCAGCGGTCAAACCACCCGGGCCTCGGAAGTCCCTAAGTTCACGCCCGCGTGATCCCCGTGCCCGGGTGACAGCCTGCCCCTGAGAGGATTGGCACGTGTATTCGTGCTTGCACACATGTGTGTCCGGACGTTTGCCCGTGCGCTCTCCCAATCCCACGGCGCACGGGCAGCCCCAACCCCACCTGATTTCTCCCAGGGCAGTTTGGGGTCTGGCCCTCCCCCACCCCACCAGCAAGGACTAGCTCCTGGGTGCCAGGGGCTGCGCTGCCAGGGGGCTGATTCGCCAAGGCAGCGACCCCGGAGGCACATGGATCTCCCCAAGCCGCGGGGACAGCACAAGGGAAAGGGCTGGAGCCCGGCTCTGCTCCTCACGCTGCCTCTCCCTGGCCCCGGAGCGCCCAGATCCCAGAGCTCCCTCCAGGAGCGCCCAGATCCCAGAGCTCCCTCCCGGGCCCGCGCTGTCAGCCGGGCATGTCAGAGCAGGTCGCCAGCTGGCACAGGAAACCAGGCCGGGGGAGTAAAGCTTCCCACCTGGCAGGCGGACGGGATGGGAGGGAGGGGAGAGCAAAGCGCCCTTTAATCCCCAGCACCACCACCACCCCCCGGCCGGGCCGGGCCCATCCCCCATTGCCAGGCGGCCCAGCCCCCCTCACCTGCAGGAAGGACAGGTTCTGGTTGTGGTCAATCAGCACAATCTCCAGGTTGCCCATGACGATCTCGCAGTTGTTGTACATCTTGTACAGCGTCTGGTACTGGTGCGGGGCATCGCCTGTCACGCTCAGCCCGTTCAGGGTCCCCGCACACACTGCAGCGAGGAGAGCGCGGGCGTGAGAGCCACGAAAGGGTTAATCGCACACTTCTTCCCCCCCCCCCCACCCCCCACCCGCCGGGGCCCCCCGGCCCCCCCGGCAGGACAGGAAACACGGTTGCAATGGAGATTCTCTCCGGCACCAGGCCTGGCTGCTCAATCTCACTCCAGGACAGAAAGCAGCCGGGGGGGGAGAGGGGCTGCTTGTGCCCCCTCCATTTCGCTGGGTGCCCCCCACCCTCCTTCCCTGGCTGCCTTCCAGCCGATACTCCTGGCCAGGCCCTTTCTGGGCCCCTGCCAACCAGCCGAGGGCCCCAGCCCCACCCTCCTGCAGGTAAACAAGTGACGAGCCGATCCCCTCCCCCTCCCGCTGCCATAATAGCTCCATTGTGACACCCGTGGGGGGGCAGCGCTTGGGATGTGGCCAGGGGGCAGCCGATGCCAGCAGGCGGCGGGGGGGGCACCTCAGCCAAGCGGGTGATGGACCCGATCCTGCCTCGCCGTGGGGCCGAGGCCCATGTGCTGCTTCCC